AATATGCCAACGTCGTACTAGCGTACTTTTTCAAAACGAATGGTACCAAACCTGGTACAATTGTACCACCTCTGGCAACACTGTTACATAAATAATGTTATAAAGCATTCCGGAGAAAATTTGAAATAAACCCACCTGCATATGTAAGTTTGGGTATAAGAAAAGGACATACACACTCTACCGCACACAAAATGGAACTGCTTACATTTCTAACCCAAACCTTCTTTAGTACGGGCAATAAGCTTTATACTGTAAAGATGGCAGCACTACTTTATAGTTGATAAAGTAGTTATTAGCGAATGGCCACTGTTGAAGTCTGGCCACTGTAGGTGGTTCTCCCCTACCCTATTTGGCAAATATCAAATTAATAAAGTCCCCAGATGGTTTTTGTCTTCAAAAAATCTGAAAGTAGGGCCTTACAGAGTTCCTCACTTTCTTCTTTTTCCTGGAAAATTTTCGAAATTTTTCCTTTGCCAGTTTTTCAGAAAAAAATTAAAATGTAAAAGGATAATTTTTTTTTTTATTTTACTTGAAAAAGTCAATTTTCCAGAAATTTTTACTGAAAAATTTTGAAATTTTCCTATAATGAGCTCCTCATTTTCTTCTTTCTCCTTGAAAAATTTCACAAGTTTTGTTTTATTAGTTTTCCAGAAATAAATTGAAATGTGAGAGGATGAATTTTCATGAATTTTCCTTAATTTTGCTTAAATAAGTCAATTTTCCAGAATTTTTCCTGAAGTGATTTTTTACTGGAAAATTTTGAAATTTTGCTTTAATGAGATCCTCACTTTCCTCTTTTTTCTGGAAAATTTTCACAATTATCCTTTTGCCAGTTTTCTAAAATAAAAATAAAATGTAAGAAAATGAATTTTGCTTAAAAAAGTCAATTTTCCCTTAGTTTTTGCATTTTCGAAAAACTCGTAATTTTCGTAATTCCCCCGTAACTTTTTCGTAATTCTCCCATAACTTCAAAAATCATAATTTTTTCGTAATTCCCGTAATTTTTTATAGCTATTTTTAATTCTCCTAATTTTTTAAAAAACTTCATTATTTTTGAATTCCCCCCAAGTTTTGTAATTTTCATAATTTCAAAAATTCGTGATTTTCGTAATTCCTATAATTTTTGTAATGTTCGTAATTCTCTTTATTTTTATAATTCCAGTAATTTTTCGTAATTCCTGCAATTTTTCGTAACTTTTCAAAAATTGCGAAAAAGTGAGTGTCAAAATCGCAGGAAAGTGACTTAAGAATTACGAAAAATAGAAGTAAATTACAAAAAAAAATGAGGTTGGAAATGTTGGAATTGCGAAAAAGTTGAGTTAAAATGGCGGAAAAGCAGGGTTATAATCGAGAAAAATGAGGTTATAAATACGAAAAACAAAAGTAAAGATTATGGAAAAATTAGGTTGAAATTGCGAGGCGAAAATCGCGGAAAAGTGAGGTTATACTTATTGAAAAATGAGGCAAGAATAACGGAAAAGTGAGGCAAAATTCGCGGAAAAATTTGTTCAAATTGCGAGAAAGTGAGTTTGAACTTTGAAATTGCGGAAAAGTGAACGTGAAATTGCGAAAAAAAATTGTTAAAAGCCGATATTTTTTAAATAAATTTCGTTATTTTTATAATTTTTCCTTAGTTTTTGCAATTTTCGCAAAACTCGTAATTTTCGTAATTCTCATAACTTTTTCCTAATTTCCTTAATTTTCCGTAACTTTCCAAAATTCATCGTAATTTTTCTGTAATTCCCGTAATTTTTGAATAATTCCTGTTGTTTCTCAGATTTTCGTAATTTTTTAATTTCCGTAATTTCTCAAAATATTCAGTTACTTATTTCATAATTCCCCCTAAGTTTTTGTTATTTTCAAGAATTCGTAATTCTCGTAATTTTCAATTTTTTTTTTTGTGAATTTTCATTATTTCAGTAATTTCTCAGATAATTCTCCTTATTTCTATAATTCTTCCTTAGTCATTGCAATTTTTGGAAAACTCGTAATTTTCTAATTCCTGTAACTTTTTCATAAATCCCGTAACTTTCCAAAAATTGTCGTAATTTTTTCGCAATTCCAGTAATTTTTTCTTATTTCTTTCAATTTTTATATTTCCTGTAGTTCCTCAAATTTTCGTAATTTTGTAATTCCCGTAATTTCTCAAAAAACTCAGTTATCTTTATAATTTTCCCCAAGTTTGTTGTGATTCTCAAAAATTGGTAATTCCCGTAATTTTTTTTTTCTTGGAATTTTCGAAAATTTTCAAATTCCCGTCATTTCTCAAAAAATTCTCGTTAATTTCTAATTCCCCCTCAGTTTTTGCAATTTTCGGAAAATTCGAGAATCCCGTAACTTTTTGTAATTCTTGTTATTTTCGTAATTTTTTGAAAATTGTCACAATTTTTTTAATTCCCGTGATTTTTTCGTATTTTTCATAATTTTTGAATAATTCCTGTAGTTTTCAGATTTCCGTAGTTTTTTAATTTCTGTAATTTCTCAGAAAACTTCGTTATTTTCATAATTCCGAAATTATGTAATTCTCGTTATTTTTCGTATTTTATTTTGGGAATTTTCGAAATTTTGTAATTCCTGTCATTTCTCAGATAATTCTCGTTATTTTCATAATACCCCCTTAGTTTTTACAATTTTCGAAAAACTCGAAATTTTCATAATTCTCATTATTTTCGTAATTTTTTAATTTCCGTAATTTCTCATAAAAACTCCGTTAGTTTTATAATTCCCCCTAAGTTTTTGAAATTTTCGAAAGCTGGTAATTTCTGTATTTTTTTTTGGGAATTTTCGAAATTTTTTAATTCCTGTCATTTCTCAGATAATTCTTGTTATTTTCTAATTCCCCCTTATTTTTTTCAATTTTTGGTAATTTTCTTTATTTTCGCAATTTTTCCCGCTTTTTCCATCATGAGGTATTCGTAATTCCAGTAATTATTTGTATTTCCAATTTTTCAATTTTCAACTTTCCAAAAAAATTCGGAATTTTCTAATTCTTCCTAAGTTATTGTAATTTTCGTAATTTCAAAAACTTATGATTTCCGTTATTTTGGGAATTACCGTAATTCACGTAATTTTGGAATAACTTTGTAATTCTTTCCCGTAAGATTTCGTAATACCCGTAATTTTTGTAATTTTCGTAGTTTTTCGTATTTTCCTTTATTCCCGTAGTTTTTATAATTTCTCATACCTAATTCCCGTAAATTTTCGTCATTCTACTAAGTTCCGTAAATTTTTTAATTCCCATTATTTTTCGTAATTCCCGTAATTTGTCTTGTTAGTTTTCGTAACTTTTCAAAAAATAGTAATATTTAAACAATTGACGTAATTTTGGAGTAACTTCGTAATTCTTTTGTGTAATATTTGGTAATTCCAATAATTTTTGTAATTCCCATAATTTTTTGTTATTCCGTGATTCTCGTCATGTTCCGTAATTGTCGTAAATGTTTGCGATTCTCATAATTTTCCATATATATTTTACGTAACTTTTCAAAAATTATCGTAATTCTCGTAATTTTGAAATGAGGAAAAATGAGGATAAAATCGCGGAAAGTGATGATAAAATCACAAAAAAAAGAGTCAAAAATTTCAAAAAAAGTGAGTTTAAATTCGCGGAAAAGTAAGATGAAACTCGCGGAAAAATGAGGATAAAGTCATGAAAAGTGAGGATAAAATCGCGGAGAATGAAATAGGAAACGCGGAAAAGTGAGGATAACATCGCAAAAAAAGTGAGACAAGAATCGCGGAAAAATTGAGATAATATTTACAGAAAAGTGGGTTTACAATCGCGAAAAAGTGGATTTAGAATCGCGGTAAGTGATGGTAGAATCGCAAAAATATGAGTCAAAAATTGCAAAAAAAGTGAGGTCCAATTCGCGGAAAAGTGAAGATAAAATCGCGGAAAGTAGGGAAAAAATTGCAGGAAAATGAGGTAAGAATCGCGGAAAAATGAGGATGAAATAGCGGAAAAATAAGTTTGTAATCGCGGAGGAGTGAGGGTAGAATCGCAAAAAAGTGAGGGTGAAATCGCAAAAAAGTGAGGCTAAAATCGCAAAAAAAGTAAGGACAAAATTGCAAAAAAATGGGTCAAAAATCGCAAAAAAATGAGTCAAAAATTTCAAAAAAAGTTCGTGAAAAAGTGAGAAAAGAATCGCGGAAAAATGAGGTAATATTTGCGGAAAAGTGGGTTTACAATCGCGGAAAAGTAAATTTAGAATTGCAGAAAAGTAATAGTAAAATCTAAAATTTCTAAATTATGACGTTATCGATGACGTAAGTAAGTACAAAAAGTACAAAAAAAAAAGTCGCGTGCAGCACAGTACCCGTGATAGAAGTGAATACTTATTTATCGATCTCTTTCTCTCTCTCTCCCTCATATTCATCATATGCTTCATCTCATTTGCGAGACGAAAATTTTATAAATCCTGTCGTGACACGACCTTGAAAAATCACTCTCATGCGGCCAAAGAAGTATTCACTTCAATAAATAATTTGGTTGCACTGATTTTTTATATTAGTTTTAGGTAGTGCCACTGTAGGCAGTGCTATGGTGGGATGCTAATTTTTGCTTTAGGGGTGCTTAGCACCCTCAAGCATCCCCCTAGTTGCGCCTATGACGAGCCGCCACTATTTTTTTTATACCCTTTCGACTTTCTGCATTATTATCAAACAAAGGGCTCTTTCAGACAACATGTAAGTATGTACTCCACATAAAGGAAGAAACATAATACTTTATACGCGAAATTTATAGGACAGTAATACCCCGGTAATTGTCAGATGTCGTATGGTCTGTAATTGGCGAATTTAAAAACATGTTAGGAAACGAAAACATTCTAGAATGAGTTGCTGTACCTACGTAGGTATTTTGAAAGTCTTCTCGTTTCATGTGTTATAAAATTTCTATAACATCCATGTTTTCCAATTGAATTTTGAAATCGCTGGTAATCGTAGTTAATTTTTTTCAAAATCAAAAATAAACTCAAACCAGACATTCATATTCTCCTTACCTCCAAACAATTTCGTCTTCGCCCTGTCGACTTCTATGTTTCTCGTGTCGATGTCTCTCATGATGGTGCCTATGCGGATTACCACTTCTCACCAACAAACCACTTAACTCACTAATGGGTCCACAATAGGTGTTCCTGTGCAATTCGCACGGATGTAACACTACCGTACCGTCTGAACACTCTGTACAATTTATGCACCGTTGCTCGGCTGCATTCAGGTACTGATTTTCCGGGCAAAATGAGGCAAGAACTACTGTCGTGACTGATAATAGAATTAGCGTGCAGGGTATGTAGGCATTTACCATCACCTGAAATAAAAGAAATTTAAATTTGAATAAATGGTTTTCAACTTTACTTTATGAGATAAACTTTTTCGTTTACCTTCTCGTATAGGTATGTCCCGATTTGATTTACTCGAAAAAGTTTTCTCTTTTGGAGAAAGAACGAAGACTAACTTTTAAAAGTTACACGATTTGCTTCGGCGGGTTTAAATTGAGAGTTATTGGAACTAAAAATATAAGATTTTTGTTCATTTCAGGGGAAATTTAAAGTGAGCAGCTTGTTCTCTCACTCACTATATCAGTCATCATTTTAAAAGCTTTTGTTAAAATTGCAGTTATTATAGAGAGTGATTTACTCTCACATTATTCTCCTTGGAGAAGAGACGTCAAAAAATATTCTTCTTTGTATGTACATGATGGATACTCATTTGATGGTTCTAACATGGTATCAGTAATAACCGTATCCTTGAACAAACACATTCATGGTTAATGATTTACTCGTTAAAAAAACAAAACAAAAGCTTCTAATGTGTTATTACATTACTCTAGTACAAAGCCATACAATTAAGGTTATTGTTTTACCAGTTGGTAACCGCCTCGAAACAATATGGGTACTTAATAAAAATGTGTGTATCAGTTTTTGAAACATGATTGTTTATCTTGACCCTATAACAATAAGTCAACAAATCATAAAAACCATCCATTGGCAATCCAATAAATTTGTCAAATGTCGTACGTTTTGGGTCCCATTTCCGTTAGTGATTTGCCCCGTAAAGTTCAAGAAAGGAAGTTGTTAACTGTTATTTATACAACTGTGGTTAATGTGGAATTATTCAACCGTTTTTACGTTAAATGTGCGTAAATAACAACAACAACTATGTATTTTTAATAAAACTTTAAACTTTCTAGGTAGGTAGAAAAACTTTTCGTTTATTTTTCTACTCGGATAAATTTTACTTAATGGATTTTTACAGCGGCGTTTTAGGTTTTCGTGATTTTATTTTCGTTTTCTCACTTTAATCTTTTCTGTTGGAAACACGAGGCAATTTGTTGTGAAACAAGAAATAATTTTTTACTCGGAGGCGGATTTAACCATCAGACAGGATTTTATAAGACAGTGGGGAGCCAATCCAATCAGTTATACTTGGAAAACATCAATTTGGAAATTATGTTTGATACAATTTCTATATAGTACAAGTTAATATGAAATTCAACAAGCAAGTCATTGAAGGAGTTTGTTGAATTGAGGAAAACGCGTTTGAAAAATAAACTGACGGAAATTTTTGTGAAGAATTGATTAGGTAATCGAGTGATCATTCCCGACTAATCAAGATCCTACATAAGTTAATTCCTGAAACGTAAAGTTAGGAGGTTTCCCTGTTGATTGAAAAGGTTTTTGAGTATGTCCAGTTGACATATTTTTCCTGGGTTGAACGCCTACACCTGACATTGGTTGAGAGTAAGTTTGTTTAGATGTTGATTGTTAAACAATTTTTATTTATAAATCTTCAATCTCAAATATTTCGGTAATCAAAAGCGGTTTTAAAACAACATTTCCAGAAATTGTAGCTCTTGGTGAGGACTTCAAGATGGTGTTTAGTTGAAATCGTTAGCATTTACGGTTTTTGAGAAAATAGAATTTGAAGCTTTGGACAAAATGTGGACTAAATTTCAGCATTGAAACTTAATATCTTGGAAACTCTACAAGCTACAACAACCAATTTTGCACGGGCTTATAGAGAATTTAATGCTCTTTCTAATGATATATAGTTATTATTAATTTGCTTGAAAATAATCGAAGAACAATTAAGGCCGTTTTACAGCTTGCAAGAAAACTTGAATGCAATTTTTTGCATGCAAAAAAATTGCATTCAAGATTTCTTGCACGTCGTTTTACACCTTGCAATTTGACTTGTTTCTCTCTCTAACCTCAACCATACTTTTTTGTTTTTAATGTTGTGTTGTTGATGATTGCATTTTCCAAAAATAAAAAAAGTTATTATAAGTCGATATAAAAAGAAGAAAGCAATAGCAGCAACTTTAAGCATCATAATTGCTAAAAATTCCCCAGCTTGCACGAAAACCTTCAAGAAAAATGGCACCAAACCGATTGCTTGCAATGCCATTCAAGTTTCAAGAATCTTGCAGAAACCAATCAGCTGACTCACTTCTGCGCATGTCCTCGTTCAAGTTTCTTGCATATTGCAGATAAAATTGCAAGCTGTAAAACGGCCTTTAGGAAATTTCAGAGTTACAATTAGGATTAAATTTTAGAATTATTTTAAACCAACTTATTGCAGCTCCAAAATACTTAAAAATCTATAAGAACAATTTAGAAATCAATGAAAAACTTCTAGAATGCTCTAGAACCCTTCAAGACAAGTTAGAACACTTTAGAACTTCAATAAGCCATTTGGAACATTTTGAACAATTTAAAAACCTCAGAATTATTTTAGAGCCTGGAATAGACAAAAATTGAAAGTTATAATCAATAAAATCTGTTCCAAAAACCGTCCCAAGAACGGTTTCGGAGTCACTCTGTATACGAATTTTTTGGTTTTGCGCAGAATCTTGTTGGCACAATCAACAAAGCTAAAACTTAAAAAAAAAAATTAATACTAATTTGGCACTGTAACTAACTAGAAACAAGGGATTTACATTTACCGTCAGAGAACTACTTTATTACGCAGTTAGTTTTTTTTTGCCTATTTCACTTACTCATATTTATTACTTTATCTGTTTACCTTTTTTTGTTGGGGTTGAGATTCGGATTTCTTTGTTAGACAAGATTTAGTCGAGTACGGATCGCCGATAGATAAAGTACTGCGAGGTCGCGTCCATGAATTATCGACTTTTCTACACAAGATTTTTTGATCGTCATTTTCTGATTATTGTATGTGCCTATAGTGTATACCAATTGACTTTTGAATTTTGGTAAATACCTAATACCAACAATTATTTTTTGGTAATTGGGATTTATTGAATCTTGAATGAATAACCCTTGATTTTTCTAATGTTTGAGTATAGAACAATTCAGAACTTTTCTATTTAAGTTTTTTTTTAATTTAAATAGTGATTTATTTGATTCCCTATAAGTGGGCAATTAGTAAATTATACAGGGTGCCAAAAATTAGTTTTCTAGAAAATCTTTCGCGCCTATTTTTATCATTAATTTTTTTTTGATTTAGCTTTCCAGAAGTGCGTTAATGCAGAAAGTATACATGAGCTTGTGTGAAGGATAAATGATCCAGGGATGTAGACTGTTATGAGTGTTATGAGATAGAATGCTGGGTTCTAGATATGTAGGTACTGTTAGAATAGAATGCTGTATGCTGGATGTAGGTATTGTTGTACTAGAATGCTAGAGTATCCCAAAAAAATATTGATTTTGCCCAGTTTTCAATTGAATGGCTGCTTAAGCCACTTTACTATAACCCAAGTAACCCAACACAAATAACCCATTTTAACACCTTGGGGTAATTGCTAATAGTAGTCCACTAAACATTTTCAGCTATTTCCAAAATATCATAAACATCTACATATGCATGACACAATAATACTTAATAGCTAGTTGCTATAAAGATAGTATAGCTATCCAGTTATGTAGCTATATTTTTCAAAAAGGCAGTTTGAAAGTTTTCAATTTTTTTGAGACACTCATGGAGGTGTTGGGTGCACTTTTGGAAAGCCAGTCATTAACGTACATTGCATGTGGTCTTTTCTATGTCCATTTTGTCTTAATATCTTTTCCAGTTAGGTCATCATTGCTTTGGACATTGGACAGCTTTTCTTGCAAACTGGTTGTTACTCTGGACATGGGGCAAATGACTGGCAATGGTAAACATTGGGACAAATGACTGGCAAGGGTAGACGTAGCCACAACTGACTGACAATGATAGACATGGCCATGGATCCAAACTTTTCTTCAAAGCAGGGAAGCCCCGGGGGGGCCTAATGCCATGGTTGTCCTGGACCTCATTTGTTGCACTAATACACTATTTATGGTAAGTGTTTACAGTGGTGCCTTTCTAGCTGGCGAATGAAGGTTGAATTAATGGATAGTTGACAGTTTTGGCTGTACAAGTGTAATTTCAAAGTGCATTAGGTGGTGTGGAAATTGGGCTTATTCAAGTTACAATTGGCAAACGTAATAAGGTAAATTATTGAAAATACAACAATTTGTAAACTTTTTGTTACATGGCAGCACTAATCAAGAGTTTAATCCTTAAATCTGCAACATTTGTGAAGAAAGAAGCTGAAAAAGACAGTGGAATCCAGAATTATATGAAATTATGGCAAAAACTTCAAAAAAACCTTGGTAGAAAGATATCACTGTTTTTTGTCTATAGTTTTTTCATTTTAAATACTGGAATCAAGAGCCAGATTTCAAATTCAAATTGGGAAAAAATTGCTTTTCAATGTTTCAAGCTTAAGTTGATTTTTCCAGAAAAAAAATATCTCAGAACAACTTCCAGCTCCAGAGACAAAATTCAAGTTTGGGAAATTTGTTTTCATGATTTATAGCTTTTTTGATCTATTTTGGGCTATGGAAGTTTTGTTTTTGAGTAATGAAAGGGCAAATGGGGCATTTTACACGATTTTCCAGACTCTGAAATTGGAAGTTTGAAATTTTCCGTCAATTTTTGTCTATTACAGGCTCTTGAATTGATTTTTATTAGTTACTTTCATTTGTACATACGTAGATTTACATGATCTGAATCAAGAGCCGAGAATAATCAAAAATTGAACATTAAGAATGATCAACCAATCAAATCGATTTTGAAACTTCCTATTGGAATAAAACAATCAGACATTCTTTCAAATCATTTTTTTGTTAAGCTTGCGTATGAAATTATCCCCGAGTAGAGACGCATGTCATCCGCACCAAAAACAAGTTTAACTTTTTTGAATTAACCATAACTGAAACTATATGGTTTGGATGGGGACTTAACAGGGTTTTCTAGAATATTTCCTTGAATTGGTTCCAAAATCGGTAGAGAAATCAGTGTTCATCGTGATTTTGGACG